GCTGGGCAGTGCTTCTCCCAGAGCTGTTTCAGATCCCGCGGAAGAGCCGCCGTGGCCCTGGATAAATCATTCCTTTCCAAGGCAGCAGCTGACCCATGTGCAAGCACTCGCAGGTGATGGATGGAGACATTAGGTTGCATTCTGTCAATGGCGTGCATTAGGGAAAACCATTCCATAGAGTAAATTAAGAAAACAAACCAGCTACACGACACTAGCAATTGCCCCTGGCCATATTGGCTTCTCTTCTCTTGGAATGAAGCTTCCCAGTACCGACACTGCACTATCGGAGTCCCTTACCCAGCGGTCTGCGTGTATCTGAGCTTCCCCATAACTACAGGCACTCACGTAACTGGAGGAGCCTGTTTCTCAGACCCTCATTTCCTTTATGGGCATAGTGAGCTGTTATTTAAATCTCTTCTGGCAGTTCCCTTCATGTTTCAGCATCTTGTTTTCTCCATCAAGGTGTAAAGCCCTCACCTTGTAAGTAATGGGTCTTACACTTAGCATAGCACCTGTCTTATGTTGGGTGAATAGTAGATTCTATTCATGTAATGGAATTTTGCCTACTTTTCTTATATACTTGGCTGCTTTTTTCTTTTTTGCCAGACATTGGTTCATTTGTTAAGAAATCTTTGCTTCAGACCTGGATGCTGGGGATGTGGATGTTTAAGGCATGGTGTCCCACGGCCCCGTGGAGTTCACAGCAGACAGGAGACTGCCAGAGGAAGTCCTGTGGGCGGCTGTGGCAGTGCATAGGGAGAGTTCTGGTGGGGATGGAGACCCATCTGGGCAGGCTTCCAGGAGACAGGAGCTCAAGTAAGAACGAGAGAATCTCCCCTGAGCATCAGAGCTGCCTTGTGAAAAGGCTGAGGTGACGAGCCTGAGCGCGGAAACAGCATTTGGAATCCAAGTCATCTGCTATTTCAGGAGCTTCTACTAAAAAGCTCAACCTATTTCCAGGGTTGTCTATAAGGTCAAGGCAAAAAGGGGCTAGGAAATCACAGGCCCTTTACCCCGTAAGCGGGCACTCAGGAAGCGAGCATCAAATGTGCCACCTGGTAACCGTGGCTCCTTGCAGAGCTGAGCTGAGCTTTCTGCTGGGTGTGTTTAGTCCGTTGGTACTTTTAGTATGACTGTGGCTGCTTCCTAATGGGTCCATTTCTGTCTTTCACCATTACCCAGACACAAGGGCTCTCGGGTAGGAAAGAGTCTGTTCACCTCAGAGGTTGTGTCTGGTAAGGCACCCCTAATTTGGGAAGGAGACGAGAAGGAGGTGAGGTGAACCCACCACAAATGTTCAGTCAGGCAGTTTAAAGAGAGCCGGGTGTCTAAAGGGCTCCTTTTCTGTCCATTTGCAGGAATCAGCCTTCCTTTCTGAAGGGTGGTGGCTAGCAGGAAATAAGATACACGCTCATTTTTGATTTTTTTATAAACATTTTTTGCTTTAGAAATTATGACTGACAGAATAATAAAACCCTCCTCCCAAGGTCCCCATAGAAGGCTCATGATCAAGCCTGGCGAATCCCTGGTGAGACAGGGATTATCCCCAGTCCGCAGGGCAGAATCTGAGAAGTAAAATAGCACCATCTGTGCAGCATGTCCCACTACAAGTGTGGGGGATCTCTCTAACACCCCACATCTTCCAGACCTGACACACACCCCGATGTCAAAAGACAGGGCAGACAGGCAGAGGGAGGTTGGGCGCACCACCTGTCTCGCAGGAGGAGGAGGTGGGTGCCACCTGCCACTGTAGTGGGCTGGCCGGAGGGAGAGAAGTGGACTCGGACGGGAGCACACTGGGTCTGACTCTGAGATGTCTTCAAGTCACTTGCTTTCTTCCCCACAGGCCAGTGCCTTGTTCTCCACTACAAATCCCATTATGTCTGGCCCCAACTGACCTCCTTTCCGTGACTGCTGCCGAACGTCCAGCTGAAACATGTTCATGCTCAGAGTTAAAATGTGCAGATGCCGAGGTGGGGCTGTCTTTGATCCGCTTTGTGACCTCTGTTCTGCTACAGACCCTCTCTGAACCTCTCTGGCTTTCTAAGGGCACAGCAAAGAGCGCGGCTTCTCAGGGGAGCTTTGGGGGAAATGTGTTTCTCCATTTCATGGGGAAGCAGCGTAGGCAAGGAATGTCAAAGAGGCTGCTTAGAGAAGGGAGGGAAAGTAGTTCTAAGCTTCCAGAAGAAGAGAGGGCCGACTGCACTCGCAGGGCCTGCTGCGTAGCTGAAGTGCGGAGGAGGTGGCCCTGCACTGAGGCCGGTTTCCTGCTGCGGGCCTCGAGCCGCAATCAGGACACGCAGTTCTCACTTCTGCCCTTCCCTGCAGCTCACGCCTTCCCACCCCACAACTGGACCTTCCGCTTTTGTGTAGCAGTGAAACAAAACATACCTCAAAACTTTCAGAAAAGTGGGAATCAGTCATAAAAAGACACTGGGAAATACAGTAACGTCTGGATGGTGCCTGCCTCTGCCACAGCTGCACGGCCTGGCTGGGAGAGGCGGGGGCATCACTGGGGGCACAGCCGGTGTTTTCTTTGCAATCCACAAATCCAAGTCGTTAGCTTCTGTTTCTCCCTCCCTGAGTCCTGGGTCACGGTGTTTATTTACTTCAGGAATGGAGGGGAAGGCAGGCTGAACCCTGGGCACCCGGCACCCGGCAGAGTAGTAGTGACTTACCTCTGTATGCCCACAGTATGCTGGTACCTTTTATAGACAAAAGGAGATTATGAGAGAATATCACGGACAGTAGACTGGAGGAGGAGGAGGAGGAGATAGTAGGAGCTAGAAGGAGATACTAAAACGGAGCCGGGCATGGTGGCAGGTGCCTCCAGACACAGAAGACTCAGGGGGAGCATTTCAAGCAAACTGAAAGAGTAGGACGCCCTCCCTTCGGGAGATTGGAGCGATTTTGCAAAGTGCAGTGCTCAGACTGAGACATCGGCTCCTGTATCTGCCTCTCCTCATGCCCTTGGGCTCCTCATTTCCTATGAACGGAGGTGTGTGACGTCCGAGGGTGCGCATCAACACAGCAGCTCACACCCACCTCTACTTTATGCTCTCCAGGGGAGGAGTCGGAAGGACAGAACCCTGCAGGGGCCTCTCGGGCAGGCACTTCTGCCCCTGGGCCAAACTGCCAGCCCTCACCGAGCAAGCCCAGGGACACCGCTTGCCAGATGCTAGGCGGTGATCTCCACGTGCGCGCTCCTGGCACACGACTTCCTCCTCACCGCGAGCTCGTGGGTCCCAGCTTCTGCACCATTTCTGTCCTGGGAAGAAGGTGAACATGCAGGAAATGGCACGATTCGGGGTGGGCCCCAGATGCGGGTGGTCCTCTGGGGCTAGGGTACCCGCACCGTGCTGAGCCAAGGCAGAGAGGACGTGGTCCAACAGGACGCTGTCACAAAGCTGTGTGACAGGGCGCTGTGACAGGCTTCCACCGGAGAGACAGGCTTTATCCCGGGCCACACTCGCTTTCTATCAGCACTTGGAAGGCATCAACTGTCCCAGTCCCAAAACTTGGTGATGGGATGGGCACCGTCTACGGAACCAGACAGACCTGGCCTGAGCGTCGCGTGTTCCTGAGGGCAGCTGTGCAGTCTAAGTTGGGGTTAAGTTCCCTCCATGCAAAGTGGGGCCCTGCCTCCTTCCCCAGCCTTTGTGACAACTGGCAAGAGCAGTGTTGAAATGCGCTCAGCACGGTGCCTGGAGACAAAGGGAAAGAAAGTGTCCGATTTTGAAGAGCTCTGTCCAGCGGCCCCTTGTCACATGGTCCAGTGGAGGGAGTGCTGGGCTTTCGGATGGCCTCATGGGTCTCCCGGGGCCGTTCGTGTGAATGGAAAGGCGGCCAGGCTGGCTGCAGGCATCTCTGTCCGTGAGCCGGTCTGCCCCGCGACTCTGCAGACAGTGGAAAGCAGTTGTCGAACGTGCTTAGCTTAACCGGTTTGCGTTCCAACCAGCTCCTGAGGGCTGTGCACCCACGTGCACTGTGCTCAGCCACCGGCTCCGGAGCGCTGGCTCTCTGACAAGCCCCGGCACCTCCCGGCGATCAGCCAGCCGCTGCTCCCTGCAGCGGTCTGTCTCAGTCTCGCCGCCCGGACAGGGCTTGAAGAAACTCCCTCACCCCTGAGGCTGAGCTCCGAGGAGGGTGGCCAGCTCCTCCCCGGCTGCTTCAGGCCACCTGAGCGACCACAGGCCTGGCCTCTCCTTGCTGCAGAGCCCAGTGTCTGCTTCGCAAGCCGAGCCCAAGTGTCACCCCAGGCCTGGAGACACCGGAGACTCACGAAATGCTAACATCCTCGGCAGACCAGGGTGCCTCTCCGTGAATGAGAGCAGAATTCGGGCCTCTAACATTCTCTTTGCTAGTACAAAAATCAAGCGTCCCCTTCAGGAATTGTGCCCCAGGATTTCCAACAGGGGAGAAGGCAGGAGGAGGTATCAGAAGGGAACCCAGTGGGGCCACAGTGCCGATTCGGGATCATAGGGCTCTTCCAGAGAGCGTGAAAAAGGCATCCACAATTGTCCCCAACCTCCTTGCTGAGCATTTTACTGGCAGTCATCATTCAAACAGCCTTAAACCCAGAAAACAGAAGCGAGGGAGAACGGTGACAGAAACGTCACCAACTGTCCCCCCAGGAGGAGGTGAGACGGCCCGTGGGGGCAGCGGGAATGGGCAGTGGTTATTCGGTGGTTCCTTCTACTCACCGCTGCCAGGCTTGGCCTGGCACCCACCACCCCAGCGGTACATTTTGTGCGGTGGCCCGAGAGATCCCCGGTCCCCTGTTGTCTAAGGCAGGGTGGTGATGCTGACAGGAAGGGTACACCGAGCGCCTGGGCCATCTGCCGCCCGCCCGTGAGTGCTGGGTGGAAACACTCACTGGAAATTTCTAGAAAGTCACCCGTGCTGATCCTTCCGAGAGGGATTAGTGTTACAAAGGGCAAGCCCCTCCCTTCCCCACAACAAAGCTACCATCCTCCAGCCAGCCAACCTTCCAAACAGCACAGATTTAAAAATCTTGCAATTTTATTTGCATATAAAGGCCGCTAGATATAGAATATCACAATAAATTTAGAGAAACAACTGCTTTCCTAAATTTCAAGATAACATAAAATAGAATAAAGCCCAAACAACATTTACAATGGGAAAACAGAAATGACTATTAGCGACAATATTTTGTGCTAGCGGAGATTGCATCGACACACAGTGCAAATGGGAGGGGAGGGAGGTCAGAGGACAAGTTGGGGGATTTAAATAGAAAGGACAACTAAGCCTTATTTCCGGTAGCTTCCGTTGCATCCATTTACGTCTGTACACGCTTGTCACTGTACCTAGGTTTGACTCGAGCTCTTTCAGACCTCGAGCGCAGAGGAGACATAGCAGTTCTTCGGGACTTTGACGCAGTTGTACCCAGCATCCCTCTGTCCTGCTCTTGGCAATATTAAACTCCTAACGTAGTCATAATACACAAAAAATACTTATATATATACACCCATGTTGGACAGGAGTCTGCACGCTCATTTTTTAGACACTGCATGAAATACTTGCTCTTGACAGATTCCGTTTCCGTATTTTTAAAGCTAAAATAATTTAAAAGCAACAAACAGACAAGGAGACCTTGTGTAACCACCATGCGGACTTCAATAGCCTCTCCATCCTGGGCGCACACAGGCTGTGGTCTTGGGGTGACACAGTCTTTCGCAGAGCCAAGGTGTGGGAGAAGGCTTCCCGTGCCTACTTCTACTGTGAAGGTTGCCCTAAACCGGAGCCGTAACTGCAAAAAGGAAGTTTCACCAGGAAAACGACAACAACAATAACAATAACAACACATTAAAAAATAAAATACTTCAAACAATACTCTTAACAGTTGTGCAAATCTGTGTGGTTTTTTAAAACACTGCCTACCTGTTCCTTTTTTTTTTCCTTTTTCTTCCAGCTTAAAGCATATTAAAATAAGACTTTTATCACCTTTTTAAAAGAAAGCTTGGCTGTCCTTTGGCGAACACTAACCATTTACAATGGCATGGCCTTTGAGGAAACAGAAGTCGTCTTACAAATTTACAATGCTACTCTGGTTTCAAATGGATCCCCATTAAAAAAGAAAAAGAAAGAGGAGAAAGAAGCACAACCTCTAGCATCTCTTTGTTTGTTTGTTTGTTCCAACAACTTACAAAAAGAACTCACAGGATTTGGAAATAAACAAGTGAGAGAATTAAGTTTATAAGGAGAAAAACGGCAGTTTGTAGAGCTTTCCCCACATTCGCATCTGGCATCAGAGGCTCAGGAGCCCTGTGGGTTGGGAAGGTCGAAGATGATGGGTGGGTTGGTCGGCTGGAAGCTGACTGTACAAGTGGAGGCGTTGATGTACGTTGTGTAGCCGTCGGTCATGATGCCATAACCTGTAGGGAGACAGCGCCACCGTCACCATTCGGTGGCAGATATGAGCCACAGTGGAGAGCAGTGAGTGGTGGGGGATGGATTTCCACGGCCCTCCATCCCAGACCCAACCCCTCTCTGGAGCGGCCACACAACTTTGTTCTCTCTTCTTTGAAAGGGAGACTTCTCCCCGCCAACAAAGATTCTCTTTTCTTATTGAAACACTATCCTCATCAGGGAAAAGGCTGGGATTTCTTGATTAGGGAGAGGAAAGAAACATTTTTCCCTCTCTGCTGCAGTGGGATTTTCATTTCCGAGCCCTGTAGTAACTGCTGAGTTCTAAGGACCAGGGGAACAACTGCACAGGGACAAACACAACTGAACTTGGAAACGGTGAGAGGGCAGGGAGGAGCCGGCAGCCCGGGAGGTGGCGGGTGCTGGGCATCCCTGCCAGGAAGTCAGCGCCAAACCCACTGCAGGAAAGCTAGCCAGGAGCGAGTGGACCTTGGGTTGTGAGGCTTTCATGCTGAGGTGCGTTTTATCCGAAAGCACAGACCCATCAGCTGTCTGAGTGATGTGCAGGAGCATCAGAGCAGGACACGGATTCCGGTGCTTGCCTGGATGCTTGTCCAGCAAAAGCATCTCCCTCAGGCGGTGCAGCCGGCTTGTAACCCGCCGGAAGGAGGCTGAGCAGGTGCCCCTGGACCTGTGTGCTTCCTCCGCCATTTGCAGTGTGCCCGAATGTTTAGGATCCTGGGAACCCTGCACCTTTCCTGGCCACCATATTTGCTGTGCAGCCTTTGTGTCTCAGTCTGTGAGTCTCCTTCTGGGTGAGGCTCTTACGCCACATCAAAACACAGCCACAAAGAAATAAAATAACCACGACTTACAGGAATCCCTGATAAGGTTCTTTCTATTTTTTTCCATTTGCTAAAATTTCCCCAAGTAAGCCTGTGGAGAGCTTAATGAGGGTCAATGGAAAATCTCTTAAGAAATGAAAAGAGGCATTTAAAATGTGCACGGTTTAGTTCTGGGGTCATAAAGTCTTGTTATCTCTCTCCATCAAGAGGCTGGTATTTGCCCTCTCGCTGCCCTCTTCAGCTGTCTTAAGTGAATAAAAGCAAGACAAGTTTATTTGAATACGATCTCCTCCCTTTCAAGCAAGTTTATTATTTTGGTGCTTCGGTGGAATTTCCCAGTTGTCTGGCTAGTTGAAAGCTAATTAATGATTTAATTTTTTTTAAAGGTAAAATGCAACCTCTAAGAAGGGCTGCAGGAATTCAAACCACTTTTCAGGATAATGGTCCCCCAGAGATCCTGTCTAGATATGAGGTCCTGTGTCTGCACCCCCCCCATATCTCACCACCCTGTGCCAGGGCAGACAGAAGCCCCCTCCTTCACCAGCCCGAGTCAGAGCCAGGGCAGGGAACCGGGGCCTGGTCCCCCGGCTGCTGGCTGCCCCTAGAGCAAGCTGACTTCCCTCTGTCCTCGGTGGGCAGATTTTCAATGTGCTCTTCATTACCTGTCTACCCAGGAAGCCTCAGGATTTGTGGGCTCTGAGAAGCAGACTGCATTCCGGCTTTATCATGCACAGAACCATACACACCTCAACCTGACTGCAGATTCCAGGTCCAGAAAGTAGCTGTCAGCAGGAGCTGGGGAGACCGGTGCTGCCATCTGGAGCACACCTACTGCCCACAGAGGGTGCAGCTAGTGGAGGCTGGTGGGCTTGGCAAACCCCAGGCTTGCTGAAAGAGGACTCTGTCTACACAAAGGCTCTGCATCTCTGGTTTGAAAAGGTAGAGAAAAACCCAGAGCTCTGAAGCTTCCTGTGACCCTGACTCAATTTACCTAGAGAGGCAAGGAACAATGACTGGACAGCTCCCATGTAAAGGAGATTTAATGGTTCTGTTTAACCTCAGTGTGAGCTTGTGCTGATGATTTCTGAGAAGTCTGCATGGTTTTCTAAGGTCCTAGGGAAACGTCTCCTTGCGAATGCCCTCCACGTCTGCTAGTCTGCTACACATCTCAGGTTGCAGTACGTCCAGAGGTTTTTCTCAGAGAACATCTTGTCTTCCTAGGTCTGTGTGCGCTCCATATGGAACACAGTATTTATAGGTAGGAAGGGACTGTGGAGGATTTAAATAGCTTCTAATATCCGGGGTATTTCTATTAACTCTGTCAAAGAGAACATTTGTCCTTATGTACCGCAGGGTTGCCCTGTATCAGCAATTAGCACATAGTTTTCATTAGAGCCTGAGATTCCAGAAGTAGCCTGGGGGAGTCTTGGGTTTGTAGGAAGGTGGGCGGGCAGGCCTTCTGCTCTGCACTCTGATTAAAAGAGAGCACCATACAATATCAGCTGTAGATGCCCATTTGTCTACTAAGATCTCATCTCACGAAAGGGTTTCATTGCTACCGACTATGAGAGGGACTGGCCCAGTCCCTCCCCGGTAGCTGAGGTCCCCCTCGTGGAAGGGGGTGTGGTGCCAGCTCCTTACTACTATTCTTACCTTCATGAATCCCACCAAACACGTGCAGCTTGGGCCGGACCCTCCTTTGCACGGTGTTCAGGAGCTCCACGCAGCCCACCCTCTGCAGCTCCTTGGGCACCCAGTCTCGAAAACCTAAGGGCAGAGCGCAATCAATAGCCTTAATTCTCCTCCTTCAGGTAAGGCTTCATGCCGACTTTCAGGAAGCTATAACTCACGGAGGGTTTATTACATTATCGGTGAGCCTCGCCGGCCATTAAAGGGCTCAGTGGCTTTTAAGAAACTTTGTCTTCTTCCGATTCTTGCATTTTTTTTCTTTTGGTTTTCATTTTTTTTCCTTCCAGTTAATTAACATTTTTTTTTCTGTAAGGACTTTGATTTATTCAACCACAGGTTTCAAATCTTCTCCATGGCCTCAAGGACATGTGCAATGTTCCTGGCAGCCCCGTTGTAACTCCCGCTCCCTCAGGCCACTTCCTTTCTCTATGACACCTTTCTTGCACTTTCTTACAGCAGGGTACTTCAGAGGTGGCACAAGCAGGAGCCCCGGGAGCGGCTGTTGCTTAACTGGCCACAGCACACACTGCTCTCTGTGGAGACATCAGCTCATCAGCCCTGGCGGATCCCAAAGCCCAAAGCTCTAGATGCCAAGTTGCTTCCCTATCCTCCCCTAACAATAGGCAGCAGCATGACCTCTTGGTGGCATCCAGCAAGCTGGAGCTAATTGACTACTTTTAAAGTAAAAGCCACTTAGTATTACGCTTAATGCAGAAAATTCATAAAAACTGACATCCATTATAGCCAGAGTCAGCTCTCTAGATGATTACAGTCTGCAGTGAAATCCATACACCTCAGCACCCAGGCGTAAGGAGGCAGGTGGGAGGAAAGGCTAACTCATCATCATCTGCAGGGTCCACTCCACACTTCCATTAGGTGAACTCTGCTATTTAGAAATGACCGGGCCAAGAGAGATGGCTTTCTGCTTTGTTGGGCCAAGCGCAGAAGTGAGTGTTTAGTGTCTCTGCGAGGACACTGGCTGGGGTCCTGGGAATGACCAGAGAGGGTGGGAAGAACTTGGGATGGAAGGGAGGCCCCAGCAAAAATTAACCCGGGGCCTTCAACGCTTCTTAATAAAGGAGGGGGACCCAGATCCACAGCAGTTGGTGTATTACCGCATGGAGGTGTTTTCCTGAAGGAGAGCGAATACTCCACTTCACATTCATGCACCTGGAGCCCTAATGGCCAAGTCCCACTGCACTTTGGCTTCCTCCAGAGTGGGACACTCAAGGCCAGCTCTCTGCCCTCTACTAGAGCACTTTCCTCAGAGTCCCCATCAGAGCACGCATTAAGGTTCAGCTTTATATGGAAACTTTGCCTGATGTTTCTTTTGGAGACTGCTGGCTGCAGACCTCACTCTGTGACACCCGTGGCCTGGTTCACTCCGTGGTTTCTACAAGGACGCTAGCCTTCCTGGTAAGAGATCCTGGGATGTCAGAACCCCTCAGCATCTGGTGTTTAGACTATCACTGCTACTTGCTTAGGTATCAAAATGAACGACTTTGCAAAATCTGCTGATTTATTTTCCTATTCAAAGTTGTATTCCAAGTCACACCCCAGTCATGCACATGTCCCTGTGCCAAAGGCATCCAAACCCGGTATGACAGGCAAAGGAAGCCATGCCTGTGCTCCGCGGGACTGCTCAGGTGAAAGGACGGCGCTCACCGCCCGGTTCCCCGCAGGGGCTCTCGCTGGGTAACTCTCACTGAGCAGAGAGTTTAGCTAGCAGTCTGAGGGCTTAGTGAGTCTCCTCAGTGGTGAAACAGGGAAATGATTATGATTCGATAAACATCACTGCCAGGGAGACCCTTGGAAACAAGGGTGGGGTGACACTTGGGGTAGGGACGTGAGCGTGAGGACAGTGACTGCAGCATCGCTGCGTCTGCGCGGCCCCTCTTCCCTGGCTCCCCCACCGTTTCAATGTGGCACTGTGGCCTACGCCCTGCTCCTCCTCCCACCGTTTCTTGGCCAAACATGCCGGATTTCCTTGTAGAGAAAGGGACTCAGGACCAAGTGGCTTGGAGGAGAAAAGTGCCTAGGAAGGTCCACCTGGGATTCAGGGTCGAGCATTAGGAGCTTTCAGTTTTCAGGCTGGTAGAGGCGAGAAGACACAAGGGTACCAACCTCAAGCCAAGAAGAACCGTGAAAGTCATCTACGTATGTTGTGACCCTCTCCGCAAACCAAGATGATGAAGTGAACTCTGAAGAGTGCACGCTCAGAAATGCATAATGAGGGTAACTTCACAGTGCTTTTTTATAATTAAGAAAGAAAGTTTTCTCCTATTGCAAGTGAAACACATAAATTTCTGAGCACATCTTAGCCTGGCAGGAAAGGCCTGGCACAACAGGGAACGTGAGGAGGTGGGTGCTGGTTAAAAAATGTTCTGTGGTTAAGCCAAACCAGTAGCAAGCTCAGGAATAATTAGGAGATAATTCTATGAATCACACAATGATCTGCCAATAATTGGACTCACGCAGCGTGGAGAAGGCGTCCAGCACACAGGTAATCTGAACCTGGCCACAGCCCTGTACGCCTGCGGTGGGAGCCTCCTTAAAGAACTCTCATCTAAGTCCGCACTGAACACTTTATTTTAAACAAAAAGAGATTCTTTTCTCATATAACCAGCTCAGATGTTCAACTTTAAAGCTCCCCCAGGTTCTGCATTATATGGACAAGGAAAATGAGCTCTTTGGAACAAAGGTGTCCATCATTTCACTGCCATTTGAAGCCTCCAGATTGGAAGGTCCGGTCTTCCTTACCCTCCCCACCCCCTCACTCTGAGGGGAATCCAGCTCTTAAAATAAATTATTGAGCTCAAAGGACTGTGGCGCTCCGGACTCATTTGATTTTTTCCCTGACTCAACTAAATCAAAAAATTTAATTTCATGAACACCTGTAAGCCTAACAGAACCGCTGAGTTTAATTATCATACTGGATTTCTTTAAAGGCACTGACTTTTCTTTTTGTATTCACTCTTTTTGTTGTTGGAGGGAAATGATTACGTCCCTGGCACATTATTCATTCTTCCCCGGGGAGAAGTCCTGCCACAGGACGAGGCACAACCAGGGCTTCACTTACCAAGAGGAGGTCCGTGTGTCATGAGGATGTCGATGCCCTCGGGGACCAGGTTCCACTTGTCCAGCAGGGACTGGCCACGGGGAAGGTTAAAGCCCCATCCATTAAACCACGGGGTCCTTTGGGGGAGACAACGCACAGGGTGTCAGGCCAGCGGCTGTGACTGCTCCCCTCCCTCTGTCTCTCTCTTCCCTGTTTTCAATGGGTGGACCTGGCAGCAGCGCGCTTTGTTTTGATTGCTTCAAAACCAATCCATCCGAAAGCAAGTGTGGAACCTACAAATTGTCCCGCTAGAAAGAAGACCTTCCCAGTGGGCCTCTACCACAATCTCCACGATGCTTTGTTTTCCCCCAAATCTCAGTGTTTGCTAAGATACCCAGCCCTGATCTGAAGACTTTCCGGCCTTCCCGCGTTTGTCTCCCTCCTCCCTGTCATTGTGCAAGTGCTTCCCCAGAAAAGAAGAGTTTCACTGAAGTCTCCCAAGCCATGGACAAAGGGCTGGAGGCAGCATCTTTGTCCCCTGAGAAGTTCTCAATACTCTGGACTGAGACTACTGAAAAATATGAGGCCCTGAAAAGTAGAAAGAGTCACTGGGAATAGAAAGCCAGGGAGGAATTGTCTTCCTTCCACCAGAGGGAAGATCTGGGGCCCTCTGGTCACCCTGGAATTTGTTCCTCTGACACTGACATGAGAATTTCACAGGAGCGAATGCCCCAGAATGAGTTTCTGAGATGGATGCTACGTATGCGAAGGAATTTGGAGAGGGTGTGTGCCTCTATCTACTGAGTGCTTCTAATTGTAGCTGAAAAGTCCCATGTATAAATATACTATTTATGGAGGTGATTTTTCCTCTAAAAACACCATAGGCTAAAGCAGATGAGTTTAAAGCACTTCCTAGGATTGTCCTATTCCCAAATACCTAGATACAACCACTACTCTTTGAAGCTGTTCCTGTGTAGGAAAGTTCCGATTTATGTGCACATCCTAAAAAGACGCACTGATCATTTTTGTGGTGAAGCCCAACTTCCCTCTCACCCGCCTTCCTTGCCTTCCGAGAGAGGCGACTCTGACGTTAACAGTCAGAGCTCACCCAGCAAGGGAGCAGTCCTGTGTAAAGTCGACCATCAGCTCCCCCAGAGGGATTCAGACCCTGAGCTCAGAAACAGTGATAGACAGCACTGGTGACAGAGCACAGGAGAGGGAGATGGCTGTGGAGAGCCACAGAAAGATCCAGCTCACAGGGGACCGCCCCACTTCTCTCTGTGGAGGTGGGGAGAGGAAGTCCCAGAAGGAAGATACTGTGTGGCCCCAGCTAGGAGAAACAAGAAAGTGTCTGACTACCTTCCTAGCCGCTTGCCAAGTCCCTCTGCTGCCCTCGGGGCTTACTGGCATGAGCAGTGATAATATGATAAGACTAACAGGACAGCAGAGGGCCTGGCGGAGCAGAGGTGCTCGCATCACGCTGTCCGGGAAGCAGTGAGTGGGGGCAGAGCTCGATCCCTTCAGGGCACATCCCCAGTGACCATCTCTTCCAGCCAGACCCCACCTTCTAGCAGCACGGTTCGCTCTAAACTCAGGAGTGGACTAATCCACGCAGAGGTACAGCACCCATCACCCAGGCACCACCCAAAAGCTCCACCATAGGTGCACGAGGTTTTGTGGGGACATCTGGATATAGACCACGACAGCCACCATGTGATGATTTCTCCTCTCATGCACTACCGGGATTCACTTACTACTTGCCCTGGGAGAACCTCTTCTGGACTCTGCCAAGTCTGCCCGCCTTGTGGCTCAGAGCCAAATAATGTAACGGCACTACAGTACCGAAGTCCAGCAGCATCATGGTGGGATGCACACAGGCTGCTTTTCGCCTGCTGAGGTCATCCCTCCTTTTGGCAACAGCACCCGAACTGCCCTTGGTGTACAGCTGTCCTCATGTCAGGGTGAAGTAGGCGCGGCATCTCCCTCCCAGTGACCTGCGCAGAGGTGGACGCACGACCCACGCTGGCCAGTGGGAGTCACCTTCAGGACTTTGTTGGTGCTCCCTAGAGAAAGGTTGTGGTTTCCTTGCCCCAGGGAAGCCCTTGGGTCTCAAGGGGTCTCTCTGTCTCAACCCTCGGTCTGGGTTCCAGAACTGATGGGGGCTGCCTTAGCCAGCACCCAGACCACCACAAAGACACCCAGGAAAGAATGAGAAGGCTCGGATGACACTGTCGGATGCTCGATCCAGCCAATAAAATCCTCTCCTTTTTAGTAGCTTAAGTCCTGTTTCTTGTCCCTAGAAGAGCCCTGCTACTTCTATGTAGTGTAAAAATGACCTGTGTGTTCCCAAGGCCCTCAAAGAGCCCTGTATGGATCCCTAGAACTCGTGCCTGCATTCACTGACACAGCAAAGGGGAACTGAGCTCACTTAAGGGTTGAGTCTAATTGCCCTTCCAACAGGAAGAGTATGCAGGATCACTCAGGTGGACCCAATGTACCCGAGGCAGGCCCCTCAGATGGAAGGTGGAGGAAAGATGGGAGAGACAGGGTGAGAAGGCTCAACCTGCTGTCATCTTTGAGGACAGAGGGATGGGACCAGGAGCCAAGGAGTGTGGGCAGACCCCCAAGGCCAAGAGGTGCTCTCCTGAACGCCTCTGGAGAGGAAGGCAGCCCTACACAGCCAGGTTTCACTCCAGCGAGACCCATCTGTCATACCTCTCCCCAGCACACGTATTAGATAAGTGTGTGCTGGGTGACACGACTGAATCTGCGTTGACACGTCAGACCAGAAACAGAGCCCAGTCCAGCGCTGCTATGTGTGAGCAGGGCGGGTGAGTGCTTGGGAGCACAAAGAGCCTGAGAACTCCTCGGGGAAAGCGGGTGCTTGGTAACCCACTGCTCGGGACCCCCGGCACCACAGGCCTGGGAGAAAGCAGGGAGAACCTCTCCAGCAGAGGCCTCCTCAGCCTCGCTCTCCCTCACTCTCCTCTTCCCGTGCTTCCTGCCTTCGGGTTCCCAGTCATTCTCATAGAGTCTAAAATAGAGCTTTCTTGTTTGCACGCCTATCCATCTTCATTTCACAGCGGTCCTTTCCCAAGACCAGCCTTCGAGTCAGAACAACGGAAAACAACCGCAGAGCCCAGTGAAAACGCAGGGAGCATTTTGGCAGGAGAGAGACAGAGGAAAATAAGCAAAAACATCTGTCTTCCTAACTTCTGAAAACAAGCTTCTGAGCCTACAGCTCTTATGCGGAAGGCGAATTAAACAGGGACTGAGTGGCCCACATGCCCAAGCTGTCGGGTGGCGAGGGGCTCTGCTTCTGCCGACGAGGGCGGCTCCACGCCCCAGGACACTGGAGTCTGCCAGAGTCAAAAAACCAGACTTGATCTCTTCAGTCTTTCTAATTTTCCCTCACAGAATTTTCTCTTAGACGCCCAGGCCATATTCCCCCAGGAAATGCTCGGTTTTATAAGTGCTCTGTAAAAGATGAAGACAAACATTGTCTATAGATTTCATTTGGTTAATGTCAAGCTTGTGACAGAATCCAGAAGCTTCCGAGTTAAGGATGAAGTTGTAAAACGTCTTTTATGAGTTTTATTCTGACTCAAACGTGCCGTTCTTGGGGGCAGGCGTAGGTGAGTTACAGGGAGAGGAACGCTGGTCGAGTCCCCGGGTCACTTTTTATAGAGCTTTCACACAGATGACTGAATTTAATTCCACGCAGCAGTCCTGATGGATGGTCACTCTGTATTTAGATACAAACCTGAGGTCAGTGACACCCAGGGACCTGCCCATGCTTCTGGGACCAGCAAAGAGTCAAGATTGGAAGGCAGATCCAAGTCTGTGTCCTTGCATCACAAGATGCTCACAAAAGCCTTCGAAAGTGACAACTTCCGTGGGGTGTGGCGTGCAGAGTGAGGGCCGGGCAGCCCTGCAGTCTCTTGGCTGACGAGGGCACCAGGCCAGCAGGAGACAAGGGACTGTGCATCTGAGAGGCCCATGGTAAAAGCGCCATGCCGCCTCTCCACCTCTCTGCATCCTCCAGGCGAGCATTTTCCACAAGACAGCGGCCAGCCATGGGGGAAGCAGCCCAGACGTGTGTTTGAGAACTAGCTCACACTCGGGCCTTGGAGGAGACGAGAGATTCAGGCGTCCGTTCTCATCCCGGCTTCAGTCCCCTAGCTCACCTGAGCCTCAGAGTGCCTGGCCGGTTTCCTCCCCCGAGCCAGGCACGAGTGGGTGGACTCACAGGATCTCAAGGTTGGTTTGGGTGGTGGAAATCCCGGCAGAAGCCCAGCGTGGGACGCAGGCAGGGGCAGGGACTCTGGCTGGGGACGAAGGGGGCACCCAAGCTGCTGACTCCTGCAATGCCAATTCCCTTCTCACTGACCTCAGCCCTGCGGGCCAAGCCTGCTCTTTCCGGGAGCTGAAAATGCCCCCTTCATCTTTCTGTGCTGTGGATGCGGACCCCGAGCGGCTCGGTGCAGGGCCGAATATGTCAGCATGCATGAGGAACGCTCTGCACTGTTCGTTCAGCTTCAACCTGAAACAGGAAACCCCAGCCCGAGCCCACCAGGCGCTCCTGGAAAACGTGTGCTCATCCAACCACCACAGCCCCACAATGGGTTTTGTTCTGCAGCAATGGGGTGCGGTGCGCAGGAGAAGGGGGAGGAGCCCGGGGACAATGGCCGGTGCCTAGGCCAAAGACTTAATAATTAGCTGTGACTAACCAACACCACATGGGAACCAACTTGTAAGAAGACGTAGCACAAAGGCCCTCATTGCCATGGGCCAAAGTGAGCCTCAGCCCATCCCCGCCCAGGGAAGGATTAGAAACGCTCGGGGGGAGGGAAGGAGGGCAGCAGCTCACCGCCTACAGCCCTTGCACCCCAGACTCGGACTCAGAGGCGGATCTGGGGCTGCTTCCAAGGCACCTGCTCCCCTGCTATAGAAATTCCAGGGCCAAGCGCAGGGTGCGGGCTCCACACAGGTAGAACTTGTTCCACACAGCGTCAGCACAGGGCAGGCTTTCTGGGCATCGTGCGAAGGCCTGTGTGTTTGCAGCACACAGTGCATAGTCAGGCAGGAGCCACCAGCACGTAAACCCAGGGCAGCCTGGGCAGGCGAGCAGCTGTTC